TTACTACCTAATACACATAAATTCGAAATTAAAGAAAAGTTATTGGTTATATTTATCATTCATTCATCCATTATTAATTCTATAAAATTCCGGCTTCTTGGTGACGCGCACGTGCTGATCGCGTGATATAAATCGTTCGGCAAGGTTCAATAATAAGGTTACTGTTAAATTGGTAAGTTAAACGGTAGGAAATTCGATAAGTATAACTGTCAACTAGTAAAAACTTATTTTCTTTTGATTGATAGACCTTTGGTTCAGACAGACTTGTTCATTGGGCGGTTTCCGATAATTCCAGGGACAAATCATGAGTGTTGTCCGATAGTTCTTGTCAACTACTGATACTTTCACGGCATGAAATATGAGACGGCAGTTAAACATTACATATGTAATTAGAATTTTATCGGGTTAATAGAGAATAGATTAAGCAACGGTGTCATTTTATGATTATGTCATACAAGAATCCAGTTCAGTCAAATCAGCTCAAAATTTAAAAGAGCAAAATATTAAAGCTACAAGAAGATATTGATATTATAGATACTGAAAAAACGCCTTGAACGTGCAGTTGATTTAAACGCATTTCATTAGGGAATGGGACTATTCGCCGTCAAGACATATTTTTCTTTACACGACTGTATTATAACTTGCCGTATTATATTAAGTTGATTTAAATTAATAACTCTGTTTAGTTTAATAACTCAATTTAATAAACATTTTATATAATGTAATATATAAAATGTTTTTGTACACAGTTTTATACAAATATACCGTTACACATGACATATTAATTTAAGAGAGTAATGTGCTGACAAGATTCCAAAGTAATTTCATTTTCGATTCAGATTTCATAAAAATGTAAATTTCCTGCTTGTATGAGTAATTTCTCTGAACTAGCCGATTAAATTTTTGCCAAGAATTTTTTTCTAATTATGTAAGTATCGTAACCACATAATTTAAAAATCTATAATATAACTTCTGTTATATCAGTTGTCTTTGATACTGACATAATTTTCCAACTAACTATGTGTAATTTCTTTATATCTCATACTTGTAAATAACTATATATATTACAAGCAACATTTATTAACGTAAACAGAATTATTAAACTAAATAACTTTAATACGAATATAATATGGCAAGATATAATACAGTCATGTAAAGAAAAATATGGCTTGATGGCGAAACGTCCCGACGTCGAAACGGCCACGGTAAAATGGCAAAGGCAAAAAGTCCTAGATCCTTTTATTATTGGGTGGCGTTTTGTTGCTTAGCAAAGACTATATACTAGCTGAATCAGGCGTCAAAACGATGAAAGTATTAAGTTACTTTTTCAGGTTTTGATGCCTAAAGCGTTTGTTACAAAAGAAGAAGACATTAAGAAATATAATTTTACAATATTAAATATATAGGGTAGTGAAAAGTACATAATAATGAAAAATACCTGCTATATACAGACAACGAGAGAGAGCATAGCAAAAAGTATACATTTTTTTTTTTTTTAATTTTAATTTTAAAATAAAAAAAATAAGTATATATACAGACAGCGAGAGAATAGCGAAAAGAATGTACAGTTTTTTAAATTTAATTTTCAAATCAAACAAAGAAGTATAATGGAATGTGTTTACATGGAATAAAGCGCAAGGAGATGTTAACAGGAGGTAACTGTTTAATAAACTTTCACCAAAAGAGGGCGCTATATTGTAAGGATCTTAAGTTTTACTAACGTTTATTTTATTTTAAATCTTTACTATCACTTCTTATTTTCTACTTCCGGCCAGAATTAAAAGCTTTAACTTATTTATGCAAATTTGTCTTGCGAACGCCAAGTAAATAAGTTGTGGCTTTTTGCCAAGCAAGAGGGAGGAAGGAGCTATTAGAAGCAGGCCGCTTGCCATAGTAGTTTTACTCGGTTGCTGGTTGCCTTCAAGGCCAGAGGTTTAATCCTCGTGGTAATTGTAAACGTATCGTAGTGTTAGCAGTTCTCTGTACTACATACGGCTTTTTGTTCATATACGGCCATTCTTGGAGTTAGGCACTTGTTTGATTAATCCAAAGTTAGTTTAGTTAGAGTTTAGTTAATATTTTTATATTCTTACGTTCAGACCACAAGTGGTTGGTCTCTGTATTCCGAAGTCCGGAAATCATTGCAAAGAGAGAAAAATAAAGGGTTTCGTATACCCTTCTTGTGTGCATTGTCTACTTCCCAAATTTATTGAACATAGCTTTAGTAAGCTCCCTGTTCCGAGTCAGGACAGTCAATGTTCCCTAAGCAAGTAAGGAGGAACGCAGAACCTGATAATACTACATTACTAATAACGATTAGAGACAGAATAATCCTGAAAAGATTTATATAGAATACAAGAAGTCCGTCATATATCATAAATGTCATTAGAAACATACGTTAAGAGTATAAACTTACAACACCTATTACAAGGTTCTGTTCTCTTTATTACTTTACACTTGTATAGTTAACTAAATACATCTTCTTGCCATTTCTATTTTAATAACCGTACTCCGTTATATTCATTTCTATAAATTTCGGAAACATCTGCGTACATACATAACGGTGTGTGTTTGCGGAAGATTTCTGGATTTCTGGAACATGTTGCAAACTGTACAGAAATAAAATTTTACCAAGGTTCAAGGTTTATATGTTCAACGCATTCCTTCACTTTATTTATGCAGCTTTGGTGATTGATCTATTGATGGTACTATATTAGGTAATACTGCAAATTAATGTTTTCAAGCATTTTTTATTTCTTTTAAATCATTAACATGAAAACTAAAGCAAAATAATTAAAATCAAAATTCAACATTTTTGTGACCCAAAGCACTCAAAATGTCGCATGAGAAGAAACAGAATGTCGCTTATTTTCAAAGGCTTTCAAATTAAATATTTTCTCAGAACATGTTTTCAGATATTGACACAATTATGTTCACCTTTTAGAATTTCAGTGACGTAAAACATATACTGCCATATAATCAAGAATAAAAACATTAAGAATGCTATCGACTACCCACTTGTGAATATAAATCAATAAAATTCTCAACACATTGTACGCATTGATGGGTCATGCAAGAAAATGCCTATCACTACAGTGAAGCCATGTAAAGCAATTGATTTTTTATGACTTTCTTCTAAAAATGGGCTTATTCTATTTCCTGCTGAAATGTAATCCCAATATGGGTACGAAACGCGGTTTTATTATTGAACTATACGGCAATTTCCTATGGAGCTGTAACTTTAGCTCCTACTATTATTGTAGACAATTTTAAATACAATTATAAGAAATTTTTTGCATTTTCTCTTGCGTGCTTATGTGGGGTAAGCGGTAGCTCCTCCAGGTTGCAGTTGTGAGATATGTGGAAGATATGCCGTCGAAGGCATAGTTCACGTTTCCGAAAAACCTTAAAGTCTCAACTTTGTCATCATCTATGATCACAACATTCTCAATACTACAAGAAACAGAAATGCTCTAAAGACAATAAAACATAAAAATATCCCATACAATTTGTATTTTCATTGAGTGTTATAATTGGTTTAACAACCTTTTTTCTATTTTATAAAAGATTAATTTAGACTGTAGGATAATGAAAAAAACCTGAATGCGAAATATATCAGCTATAAAGTTTACATAGCAAATACCAATTTTTAGTTTGCCTATAAAATAATTATATAAAAATCGCACCATCAAGGAGTGAGCAGACTATTATTATAACTCCTTGTAATGTGTGTGGTTTCGCCCGAATATCGGGCGATATCTGACTATCGAAGAAGAGCGAACGAAGGAAGAGTCACTCCTGTTTTTGTGTGAAAAGGGACCGCTTTTTACTAGAGTGAAATATCGCTCCTTCGAGGTTGGTGCCATTTTGGCATTACAGGGAGGTGGGATATCACTCCTTTAGAGTCGGATAGGACTCTTTCGAATTTAGAGTGTATAGTATATGAAAATCAATCAGATTTAACGGCTGTGAACAATGTCTCATCGTAAATCACAGAATATCCAAGTAATAGTAGAAAAATATAAAAATAAATATTAAACAGCTCATATCAAGAACTATTGGGAAAGCTCGCCAGATGAGCGGGCTTTTCAAGCAAACTACTAATTCATTAATAAATGTTTTATTGTCAAATTAGCGTCTTCAGAGTTTTTAATATCTCGCAGCAACCCGCAACAACCAATTTGTAAATAAATTTTTTGTTGCCAATATAGGGTTTTCAGAATTTTTAATTAATATCTCGGCTGATTAAAATCGTACGAAGATGAGAATGATTTAAATGGCTTTCCACGAAATTTTGGAATCCGGGAATACCTACTCTCAACTCCTTCCGCCGTCACGGAGATGATGATGTTACAAACAAACAAACAATCAAATAGACAGAGGCGCAAAGATTTTTAATAGTACAGATAACTAATATACTATATTCAAAATGGATGCATAAAATGTTTATTTTACAATAATGATTATCACAGATAAATAATTGTTCAATTTTTGCCAATAGTCATAGAACTAAAATTCGTATTTCTTACTATATTTAGATTTATTTACTATCAAAAAGTATATTAACAATTCTTACTTTTGATGGCTCATATTTGGAAAAAACAACGAGAAACTCATTCACTTAGTTATGTCTTCCGAGATAAAAACATTAGACAAAATATTAACATTAAGCGATTTTATTTTTTCACGTTTAGGAGTCTTTAATATTTACTACTGATTTTCAAACATATTTGACGCATTACTTTCTCTGTGTTTTGAATTCAGTTCTAAAAAATCACATTAAAATTATTTTGCTTAACATTGCAACAGCGTATACGAGTGTTACAAATATAAGCGTAAATATCGCCACTAGAATTTAACCTGTTTTCTCAATTCAAGGCCGTCTGCTAAACTGTGAATTATGTGACATTTTCAGATTCTAGCCCAAAGGTGACATAGCAGAATAACAAGAAGAAAACGATTTCAAAAGGACAACAAAGGAATACTGAAATGCTCGTTACCTGTTGTAAGTAACATGCATGCTGGGAATTGAGCTCTTTCCTTGAAGCATGGTGAGCTTTGCCGATGTTGCTAGCCTGTGCCCTATTAGAAAAAAATTTAGCCCTTTAGCAGATATCACATTTTTAATTCTTTACATTATAAAAAAATAGATTTTCTTTTCTAATTAAATATTAGAGATTCACTGAAATAAACTGTGTAACTAAAGCAATATATTTGAAGGAAAAGAACAGGAAAATTAATTTTGATGTTCGCACACCTATATACATATCACACTTTTCGTAAAATACAGATAACACGAACAACACACGTGGATATTACACGCATAGAATGCCGATTAACTGATGTTCTACATTATTCGAGGCGATCTTGTAAGTGCAAAACCTACTTCTCATTTAATTCATAATAGCTTTACTACGCATTTTATTCTCATTAGACAGACCTCCTCCCTTTAGGCACATAGCCTTCATGTGCTTTGCCATATTCAAAGAACCCAGCGATGGATGAATGGCCGCCCGTCAATCTATCAGTAGCGGACATCGTATTGATCTTATTTTATTCAATTAATTTTAATTTTCAATCTGCTGGAGTAGCTACTTCCTATCTCATACTTGGACATGGTTGCAAAATGACTATTTTATTTGATCAGATTAAATATGCTTCCAGGCCTCCGATAGAGCAAAGAAAATTATATAATAGAATATTCGAAACCTGCCGAAATTGAAAACTTTTGCAAATCAGTTTGATCCAACAATGTGAATTTCGATATGTTTTAATAATGCATCGCCGTATAAGCGGAAAAATCGCCGTATAAGCGGAAAAGTTGATTAACGAAGTCAGCTGCCATTAAATTAAATCACGGATTTGAATCTCGCAGACGGCAAGAATGCATGTAAATGCATAAAGTCTTTGCATCACGGAGCACTTAAAATTCCATGATCATTTATGAGTTTCTTACAGGGGTTATATGCCAAGGCTACGGATTAGCAATAACTTCACAATGTGCATTTTAATGTAATCCATCCCTCAACAAAATACTGGTTTTGGTCTAGAATCTGATCTACGAAAATTACTGCAATAAGAATGGTACCCATTTCTGAGAAACAGACTCTCTGCCATGAAGATTATCAGCTCCATTCAAGGAACAGTTTAACTGAAGCAATACTGTTAAATAGCCTCAGAATTACAATATTAGAAATGAAGATGGACTTCTAATAGCATATAAAACATTTTGACAAATCCAGTTACAAATTAAATACCATATTTTTAAAAAATAAATTATATTATTACAATTTACGATAAAAGGCTTAATCAAATGACAACAAGTGTTTTTTAATACAAAACTTTAAAAAAAAAATAATAAAGTTCTTTAAGTTTGAGACTATGAGATATATTTGACGATTTGGAGACAAATGAAAGTGGCTACCATTGGTTTAGTACATCTATGGAAGAAAGGTAATTAGCATGGCAAAGCAAGCAAAGAACACCTTCTGTAGGTCCTTGTGATTTGCAATAAGAAAGGTCTTTATATCGCTCTATGTGTTACGATTTTCCTAGCAGTCATTGGATGCGTCCATATTGACGCTCCTTATATAATATTTCTGAAGGTGATCGTTTTAATTAATATCTCCTTTTATATGTGGATTTAGGCCCCATTTGAAACCCTGCATACGATGGAGCATTTAGGCATTTAGGCATGGCTATTGCATTTAGGCATACCAGTGGAGACCGAAATAAGCAGATTTTGTAATGGAATATGTGAGCCAAAATAGCGTACTAAAGTGATGCATAGCGCTGCTGAGAGGGAGATAAAAACGATCATCAGGCATACACTGTCATTCCCAGTGCAGTTTTCAAACGGTATGCATTGATACACGAACGCGGAGCTCGTCGACATGAATTTTTTTTCTCTGCAGCTGCAGTTAAAACGGAGTAGTGTTTTAAAAGAAGTATACGACAACACACCAAAGAGGGAGACTCCCAGACCTGGGCCTTTTTCAAGCCCTTAACACGGTTACTGCCCCTCCTCCTCCAGAGAAGATCCAGGGAAGCCCCTGGTCAACCCAGGGGAACAAAATTGCACACAGTCAAAATTACAAGAACATAAGTCAAAAGCGACCGGGCTCCAGCCGGTCACCTACAGTGAGAACCAAGTCAGGTCAAAGACTGTGCCGTTGCTGATCAAGGGAAGACAAACCTCCAAGGACAACCTGCGAAATCTAACCTTATAGCGTCCCCACAACCAAGGGGCAGACAAGACAGTACCAATGCGGTTCCCGCCGAGCCTGAACCTATTACCGAAGAATCGATGGTTCTAGTCACTGTGAAGACTGATAATGTATCCCAGAAGCCGAGTCTGTCTAAATAAGGTCTTGGCCATAACGCTGGAGGTTGCCCCCAGTCGACTCCTGGAGAAGCTACAACAAAAGTTCTCATATACAGCTTTTCAGAAAATGTTGCACTTCCATCAGCGGCTCTGCAGATGAAGTAAATGTAGGCAAGCTGCGCTTTCAGGTACTGATGAATACCAGTCGAAATCCACAATGAAATGACAATTCACGTGAACAGACCGCTTTTATTTTCTGCTCAACAGCTCCTTATAAGATCTTAATGTGCCATTTGGGCACACACATTCTATTAAAATCTGTTTATTTCAGTCCTATCTAACTGCCTTTACATTTCTTTCCGAGAACCTTGCTTTTCCACCAATGTTAATAGCCCACTTCTTTGCCGAGCTTTATAAGCCAATGCAGATGCCATTAACTGGATTGTAAATTAATTTAACACCTTAAAATGCATACCTCATTGCATTAACTTTTCAGATACTACTTTAATCAAAGAAAAAAAATAAAAGAACACTTAAACATATTAAAAGCAATCTTTGTGTCTAAAGTGAAGGATAGTTAGGTTCCGGATATCTAGAATCTGCATATATGAAGCTCTGCTTCACTTATATACACACAGAATATTCAATTACAGTCCAATCTGGAAAAATCACATAATACAGACACGAAAAATAATTTTTGATTCAATAAAAACTACATTACAGCTTCGAAAGGTATCCATTTTTCAAGTTCATTATTAACATTTTGTTATTTTGTTAACAAGGAAATTGGAAAACTTATGCAAAATTTTATTTCTAAAAGAAAAATTTTATTTCTAAGTCATAAAAAGATTAATTAAAACAAGATGATAATCACAATTGACTCATCAATTTATATATCAGATAATTACTAAATTACTATGACTTCGCCGCTCCTTCACCTCTTTACCTTGAGGCAGGAATGTCTTTGTAGAGAACTTTTAAAGGGAAATTTGTAAAGTTAAACTTGTTAATTAAATAACTATTATGATTTCAACTATTATGATTTATTTTACTATTCTTCTTTTCGTAGTCCTTACTAGAATGCGAATTAGTTGTTGAGTTTAAGGACAGGGTTTGAAAGCTTTCGGCTGTGTCGCTGAGTTTACGTCCTATCTCCAAACTTTACTCCGGCTTTAGCCACTTTGTTAGCTGACATCTGTTTAAATAGACCATTTGTGAGTCTCCGACTATTTGACTTGAATTTGAATTTCATTTGCGCTATTTTAAATAACCGCAAGTAGCAGAATTTGTTTTAGAGCACAAGTGGTGCCTTCTGTTACATGTAGTGTTAATAAAGAGGTTATTTAAACCTTTGTAGGGCCTTTTTGGATAGCACAGAACTTTTTATTTTAATTCAGACAAAGTGTCTTAACTCGTTCTTAGTCTAGTAGAGTCTGAAGGACATTGTTCAAAAGCTTCTACACAAGTAAAACCCTACAAACTCACCCATATTTGCATAACACGTATGAAAACAACATAAATTCCTTGTTCAGAAGTCAAACAACAAAAATCAGCGTTATATTCACAAAATTTTCACAGGACTAGTTTCGATGGTTTTACCGAACCATCATCTTCAGCTGCAAAACCGCAAATGAACAAGATAGGAAATAATGATTAGATAAGATAAGAAAGCCTGGACAAGAATAAGCAAGTGGCGCCATCTGTTGGCGAAACTAGAACTAAAACATAATTTCTCTAAAAGCCGAAGGCAAATTTGGATTGGAATTAGGATCGTTAACTAGAACAGAAAGATTTTTATGAATGTGAAATGCCTCTAGAAAATCCAGTTCTCCAATGGAAGATGTTTTTTGAATAATTTTGGCAGCAGAAAAATTGAAAGTGTGATTTTCGGACCAACAATGTTGAGCAACAGAAGACTTCTGTGTTTCCTTTTTTCTAACATATGCCTCATGTTCTTTGACGCGAAATTTTAAGGCTCTCTTAGTTTGGCCAATGTAAATTAAACCACACTGGCAAGGAATCCTATAAATACCCCAGGATTCATATCCGGAATGGGGTCCTTGAGTATAGAAGTTGGAATTTTATTGATGGGAGAATAAACAACCCGAAAGTTAAATTTCTGCAAAATATGTGCAACTTTATAGCTAATTGATGGAAAGAAGGGAATGACAACAGAATTTTTATAATCTCCTAAAATAAGAGTGTGGCTTTTAGTGTGTTGAGATGAGAATTTTTTAACTGCTTGATTAATAATGTTGGGTGAAAAGCCCCTGTCAATAGCTATTGCTTTTAAATAATTTAGTTCTTCATCAAGGGCTAGTTTGGAGGAGCAAACTTGAAGAGCACGGAAAACATAGGAATAAAATGAAGCTAACTTTTGTTTAGTCGGATGACATGATTTAAAGTGTGGTGGAAGGCAAACCGATGAAGGTTTACGGTAAACTGTAGTACTGAAGTTGGATGTGTTACGTGTGACCAGAATGTCGAGAAACGGAAGAGAATTGCAAGTCTCAAGTTCAAAAGTGAACTGAATAGCAGGATCAATAGAATTCATTGTTGAAAGAACTTTATTTAAATCATCTTTATTACCTTCAAACAGGGTAAAAGTATCGTCTACGTAGCGGAACCATGCCGGGAAGTTTAAAGTTTCAAACAATTTTGATTCATAATAATGCATGTAGATATCAGCCAGGATGGGACTGAGGGGGCTTCCCATGGCTAATCCCTCAGTTTGCTTGTAATATTTATTTTGGAAAAC